TCTCTCTCTCTCACTTTCTCTCCCCTTCCTCTCTCCCTCTCCCTCTCTTTACTGGGGATCAGGCCAGGCACAGAAGCAGAACGTTTTTCTAAGGAAAGGACAAACTTCTCTTCCAATGGGATGGAGAGTGGGTCCCCCAGCACAGCCCCTCTCCAGCTGCCCTTCCATGGAGGCAATAGCTGAGGAGACAGCCTCACACTTTCACTTTTACTGGTTGTCCAGAGGAAAGCAGTTTTCTTCCAGAAGGCCAAAATAACCAGCCCCCAATTAACCAGCTAATATAGACACCGCCTAACATTTCCCTCCTCAAAGGCCAACTCACTGCTGAGGGGGGGGGGAGGCCCCTCACCTTCTCCCTTCCCACTGGTGCATTACAAAACAGTGTTCTTTTGAAATGTTCATCAGAAATAGGCTTTTTTAAAATGTGTGTATCTGTATATAGTATTGTGATGTCTGAATGACAACGTACTGAATGCAAAAAGAAAAAGAACCCCACAAACCTGTTTTTAAAATAAAATCTTTTTTTTTTTTTTGCCTTGATTTTATCGCTCAGATTCCTTCTGAAGAGGCTTCTGTCCGCTTGCTCGTCAGGGCCATCCCTGATACCCTGACTCAGCCCGGGCGAGCAAGGGGAGGAATGTAGACATCACCCCCAGCCGGGTAAATTCCAAACTCCTATTTTGTTCCGCTTACATTTCTAAAGTGAGTTACTTGGGTTGTTGACGTGATCTAGACAGGAGAAAAACGCCATCCTCAGAATAGATGAGTGTATGTTGGGAAGAAACGGGTGTGATTAGCAACTGGGAAGGCCCCGAAGCAGGTGAGTGAGAAAAGTACGTTGCCATTGACCTCCGGTTAATAGTTGGGCGTCAGGCCTGGATTTAGGAGGTGAGAAGGCAGCGAGCACCCAGTTGGAGCTGGATGCTGTGGCGGTAGCGGACGGTGGTAGGGGCCCTCCTGCCCCAGAAGGGTAGCCGGTTCAGGGCTGGGTCTAGGAAGGGCCTGCACAGCCTGTCCTGATGGCGTGTAGCCCACAAGCTCAGCATTCTTGGGCTGCTCTCTTTTGTCTTCCATCAATCTATGCCGAGACATCAGGCCGATAGGACCCTTTGGTCCTGCAGTTCACTAAGCCAACCCCACCTTCCCTCTCCAGCCTTGCTGGGAACCACAGTCTTCCAGGCAGTCAGGAGCCGCGTGGACTCTGCCACTAATTTGTTTCCCCCGTCGCGTCCGTCCGTGCCTATCTCCCTATCTGGCGGAGTTAATGAGATCGTTAAGTTGTCAGGTTAAGAGACTTTTAAAAAGCAGTATAGCCTAAAACAATGTTATCTCAGATTAAATCTTTACTGCAGCAATTTTTATTTATATATAATATTTTTTTCTCTCCTGAGACACAGAAAGACCGGAGGCGTTGGGTTGGAAATCAGAGTTCTCCGATCTCCCTTTGCCCAATGGCTGAAATTCTTACAATTTTATTTAAATAAACGTTTCTGGCGGTGAGACACATGCATGCACGCACACACACACGCCACGGAGTCTCACAGACAAAGAGCCTCAAGAATTCACTCTTGGTAGAGCCTCTGCTACTGACGCGGCGGCCGGTCCTGGTCCTGTTCTACTCCATTTCAACTCCGGGTTAGCCATCAAAGAATCACATGCTGGGAAGTGGGGGGTTTAGGGGGGAATAGGTGAACCTCCCAGGAATAAGGCTGGTTCTGAATTCCATCTCCCCACCCACCACCTTAACCTCTTCCCAGAACCCCAAGTCTCTCCTGAGGTGGAAAGAGGCGAAGACTAAATGTGTGTCAGAAAAAGGGATTGAGTAGACAAGAAGCCTGGGCCTCTCTTGATATGGGCCCCCCATCCCTCTTGAGTTAAGGGTACATTGGCTAGTCCCATGACAGCCAGAGAAATGGAAGTTGGAGACTGGGGGAAAAGAGAAGTCTGGAGTTCTCCAAGGGATCTCTCCACTCCTGCATGCAAACCCACACCTATGAGCGAGTCTTCCCACACAGAGGGACCCTCCGTAAGGCCCCAGAAGGGGGCGATGGAAAAAAGGAGGAAGCTCATGCAGACTCCTGGGGCCACTGGAAACCCAGGCAAAGACTGCAGTTCCTTGAGACTCTGGGAGCCCCAGTGTGCCAGGGTGTTTAGGACCCTCTCCCGCCCTGGATTAGATGTGTCTGGATGGGTTTTGGAGGATTATCGTGCCTGGATCTGTTTTGGAGATGCCTCTCCCATAAGAGTAAGCAAGCATGAGAATGGCCATTCCTGTGCGAGACAGGTATCCTGTGAGTGTGTGTTCTGGGGAGGCCAAGTTGGGAAGATGTATTATTCTTTTCCCGATTGTGTGGGTCCCTTAACTTTTCTTCCTCCAAGAATTGGCATTGTCTTTGGGGACTCAGTGAGACATTCCTGTGAAGGTGTATGTGTGCATGTGCACACTCGTGTGCAGCCGCGTGTGTGTGTGTGTGTGTGTGTGTGTGTAGAGCTTTTGACGAGTGGAGAATTTCCTCAGCCTTCACTGCCTCTTGTGTGTGTGCGAGCATGTAAGTAGGAATGTTGTTATCTCAGAGTGTAGGGTGTGTTTTCTTTTCTTTATTCAAATCTATAAGTAGCCTTTCTTCCCAAGGCCAGTCTCCTAGTGTTGGTGTGAGAGGCTGCCATACACATTAGGTTGCAAGGGGATACAGGAGGTGTGAAGGGCTGTTTCCCCTGGAAACAGACAACAGCCTTTCTCCTCTGGGACTGAGGATCCTGTGATCTTTCTCATGATCCAGTCTCACTCCCCACTCCCCATGCCTCCCCCTGTCCCCCAGGCCAGGACTAAGGAACCTGGCTGGGTGGGAACCCCACAGGACTCTCCATCTGGAGGTCACTTTACCAGGCTGCCAGGAAAGTCTCAGTTAGATCCTTTCCTGGGCTTGGGGGAAAAACCCTTCCCCACCCACATCTTAGTCCCCAGACCCAGGGCCAGCAGAATAGGCCTTTCAGCCGGTAGTCCCACAGCCAAGAACCCACCTGAGAGAGCAAGGCCAGTAGTTCTCAAGGAGATCCCTCCACGACTGTCTCCAGACCATCTGCTCCTGAGGCTGATCCACAGGCGGCTGGGTCAGCAGGCCAGTGTGGGTGTGAGGCAGGGGCGGTCCCTGGGCCAGTCTCCATCTTTCAGGGATTGGAGCTGGGAACCCTGAGGCAGGTCCCCCTGTTCAAAAATGAGCTCCCCACCCTAGGATCCACCTGTGTCCGACTTGAATGGTGTCGGGAGCCCACCCCTCAAAAAACTCCAAGTGCTGGTTCGGGCAGATGTGTATCCAGACCTGTGCTGGTGGAGGATTGAGGGGCCCTGGGGAGTGAGGGGCTTCTGGGAGGAGGAGGGGGCCAGAGCTTTTTCACAACCAACCAGGCTCTTCCTCTTTTAGCCTTGACCGTGACTAGGTCTTTCTGACCTTGACATCACAGGGAACACAGGGAAGGGGGGCAGGGTGGAAAAGGCCTTGATCTTCCGGTGGCCAGAGAAGGGGAGGGCCGCTCGCCCCCTTGACGCGCCATCCCCCTTCCCGCCAGGGCCCGCCGCCTCTGTTTACACACAGAGGAGGTGTCGTCTCCAGTCTAGACAGGGGCGCTAATAACGCCCATAAAAGGCGGCCTCTCCAGAGATGTTCTGCAACTCAGCTCCCGCGCGCCTACCGCTGGCCGCTCCCTCCGCCTCCTCCGCCCCGCCCTTCTCAGATACCAGGCTGGGCCGGCGGCGGCCTTGGGGAGGGGGCATCCAGAAGGTTTCTAGAGGCTGAGAATCCCCGCCCCGCACCCTTCTGAACC